CACAGGAACATATGCACACAGCCTGGGCTGGAGGTGGATGCTGGCTCTGGAGGGAGACTGGGCAAGTGGCCAGTAAGCCTCTCGTGCTTGCCCATGTTTCCCTTTGGAGAAAGGGATTCCTGGCTTAGCATGGCCAGAGACGGCTCCAGGGAGCATTGGCATCCACCCATCCTGGGTGCAGCTCACCTAGGAAGATCCTAACTCTGTTAACTGAATTCACCATGGCCTTGCTTTCTTTGAGGTCACTGGCATATGTCCCATCAGCTCAAAAATCATAGAATCATAGAATGGTTTGAGTTGGAAGGGACCTTAAAGATTGTCTACTTCCAACCCCCTGCCATGGGCAGGGACACCTCTTGGGTTGCTCAAAGCCTCCTCCAGCTTGGCCTTGAACCCCTCCAGGGATGGGGAGCAGATCTGCTGTGATCTTTTATGCAACAGCAAACAGGCTTCCTGGGAAGGGGGAAATAAGAGGGGAAATCGTCTACATCCTTTATTTAGGTCCCTGCCTTCTGCCCTTGTCATCCCCCTCCCCCTTATTTGTCCACCCACTTCTCATGCCTCCAACAAGCCATTGCTGCTCCAGGACGTTGCTGCTGTTGGAGCTGTGGAGGGGTCACTGGGGCTTTGCCCTTTGCCTCTGAGGAGGGCAAAGCTGCTGAGGTCCAGATTCTTCCTGATGATTTCATGTGATAGCTAATTAATGGCCTCACCATGTTTCCATGGCAACTCCATGCTGTGCTCTTAGCCCTGATCCAAATGGGCATTCTGTAGACTTCTGGAGCTGTAGCATCAGCATATTAATAAGACTTGCTGACGTCCTTTGCTTTCTGCCACATCGGCTGGTAAGTCTAAATTTGAATAACTCAAAAAAAGCACATTTCATAGTAAGCTCCCAGTGCATTCCCTCATGTGACTTGAAACAACTGATCCCAGAAGTCTCCTGCATTTGAAGGGAAGAAGCAGGTAGATTCTGCTTCACCTGCTGCTTTTTGCCATGCTTTGCCTTTGGGACACCTGGCATCTGCCTTTTCTTTTTTTCTCTGGGTTGTCTGGAAGCTCTGGCTTTCACGCACTAAATTCACTAATTTAATTGCAGCAAGGGACAAGTGTCTGCTGTGATTTGGTAGGACCATCCCTGTATCAGCTGAGCTGGACAATCTTATGATGGCTTCCTGACTCCTTCTTGTACATGGGAAGGAAGAGGAGTTGCATTCTCATACAGTCCAAGAATGTTTACTCATATTTCAAAGTATGGATGTCCCTTTTTGTCATTAAACTCTATAACAATACCGCCTGATCATGCAGTCTAGTGAATTTAGTTTTACAGGTGAAAGGATTCTCTGGCCCCCACTTAATTCTCCTTTATTAGTTACCCTCCTTTCTAGTCATTGTCTTGTAAAACATCTTTGTCTGAGCAAGTGGAGGACTTGAACACAGTTTCCTCAAAGGCCCATTAACACCACAGGTGTGGCCACTCAAGGGGGATCTGAACTGCTTTCTCTTACTGAGACAGAAGTGTGCGAGGTGCCTCCCCATCTTCTATTGCCTGCAGAACAAACGCCCTGAAACAAGCCTGTTCTGGATCTGGCTGTCACAGGCTGTCCCCTTACCTGGGGAAGGGCTGATGGGACTGGGCAGTGGAAGCAGAGCATGTGCCCTGTTTGTGGCAGACATTCCTTTCCTAGCATCGAAAGCAGAGTGTAGCATGGGCCAGGCCACATCTGACTGGGTTGTTTGCTTTGGTTTTTCCTTTTTCTCTCTGACATAAACTTTGAGCCCAATATATTGTCTGAGCTGCCTGATAGCTTTTTTCCCCTACCCTGAAGGGAATTTATTCTTGAAATGTTGGCTTCATCCCACCACAAAATTTCACCTAGCCGTGTTGCAACATTTCTCCAGATCGCAGTGCTGATGTGCCGTCATACCCTGGTGCCATGCTGCACCGTCAGCTGCTCCCAAGGTAGGTTTCATAGGCTGATGGCGTATCTGTGCCAAACTGCCTTCCATCTCCTCACACTGGTTTTCTACACTCCAGCTTCACCGTTCCCAGCCGTGACGGAAATGCTAGCTAGGGCTGGACAGCACCTCTTTAGCTCCACTGCTGTGCTACCATTGCTTGGGTCTGAGCCAGAGAGCAGTGATTTCAAGTTCTGTTGGCTCCCAATGCCCTCTTTAAGGTTTGCAGTGTTACCATCCTTGCTGAAGCCCAGTATAACTAGGGGGCTGATGATCCCAAGGCATCATTAAAAATACAGGAGATAAATTGATTTGATCTCTAACAGTCCCACAAACACGGGGCAAGGTTTAGCTAATGTGTTGCTAGTTACCCATGAGATCTGAGATGTAATTGCAACTTCTCTGGCTTCTAGTCACTAGAGCTGGAGACTTGTCTTGTAGGAAAGCAATTTGTCAAATTAATTTGACTTTGTGTTAGCACGTTCATTATTCCCAGTCATGAACAGATCCCATCATTGAATATAGACTGCATCTCAGGCTATAGGTTGCTCATGAGCAGTATTCAGTATTTTTGAGCAATGACTGTAGCTCTTTGCAGTGTCAGCTCTTTGGGTCATACATGTAAATTAAATAGTACATTTCTATTCCCTGCTTGGATGGATGTAGCTGTCAAGAACATTATTTCCCCCCGTAATTACAAATTTGACATTCATTTCCCATGAATGCTCTCTACTATTTGCTTAAAGCTAGCTCCCATGCATACTATTGCTGGTGAATTTTCCTCTTATCAGAAAGCTGACGCAGAAATGTGACAACTATAAAGAAACCTCTCTGAGTGGTGGGGTCTGTAAGTACAAACCTCTACTACACAAAGACCAACCAAATGAAAACAAACAAATGAACAAACTGGGAAAAGTAGGCACCATTGCAACTTCTTGCATGGACTGACTAGTAGAGATAGAAGGAGATCTCAATGCAAGTTAGAGAAAACACAAAATTATTACCAGCAGGTATTGATGGATGTCCCTAGAAACATCTTTGTTGTTTAATTCACCCAGCTCTTCTTCTTAAACATGCACTTCCCCACCTTTTGGGAGACTGATAGGGACTGATGTGTGCTTTTGTGACTAGAACTCCTTTCTGTTTTATTCTAACTATCCAGACAGTTTCTCTTATGCCCTCAACAGGAGAGTTCAGTGAACATATATTTTCCTTAAGGTATCTAATTCCTTCTCAGTTTGGATGAGCATCAACCAAAACCACACAAATTAAACTAAACCTGAAGCCAAACATATTTGTCTGAGTCCCTGGTGTCACATGAATAACACCGCAACACGTTCAGCTCTTTCCAGAAGAACTGATGTTATTCTCAGAACCTGAGCCAGGCTCCAAAGAAGAAGGTCAACGTTTCTACAAGACTGTTTTGAACTCGATTGAATCAACACATTAAATCTCGATCCAGATATGAATCTTGGACTTTAGATCAGGACTGTCCCTCCTGCTCAGACCTCTTTTTTTCCCCAGGGTACTCCTCCAGCTCTAGAAGCCAGCAGGATCAGAGATTTATTTCTCTCTTTTAGGAGGGCAGCAATTCTAGACTCTCACACCCTTCTCACAATCAACTTTAACTAAAAACCAGTAAGATTAAGAGAAACACCCCATTTCTCACCTCCCAGTGTGTTCAGGCTTCATCACCCAGCTCAGCCCATCCTACATTCATACACTCCACTCAATATATTATTAAAAAAAAAAAAATCCAAACACACACTCCACAAACTTTTACCCACCTTTTAGTTATTCTAGTTATTTTTTTTGTTAACTCAACCCTTTTGCTTTATCCTTGAAACTTCTTAGTAGATTTGGTTGTTGTGCTCTTCCCTTCCACCCCTCCCTTTAATACTTGTGCAGATTTTTAAATAAAATTTTCTCATCTGTTTTCTGTATTTTTTTTTGTGGACAAAGAAAGTGTAAGTGAAACAAGGATATTATTCACATCCATGGAAACATAAGAAAGTAAAAGGGATCTTTGCTTCCCCAAAGAACAAAAATGACACGTGTACCTTTCAGTGTCTCCAGGTTTCCTTGGAAATGTATTTTCTTGCCTTGTGCTTTGGTTTTTGTGGTGAGGAGGGCTTCCCAACATTACTGAAAAACCCAGAACCTGAGGCAAAAAGCCAAACTCAGGTTTGCTTTTAAGTCTAGGTTTATCAAAGTGGTGCATGATTTTGGTTTTCTCTGTTCTAGGAACTCTGATGAAATACCTTAAAGATGAGTGACTCTGAAGATGTCCAGGTGCTGGTCCTCAGGGGGCTGAGCTCTGACAGCACCAAAGGCAGCAGCAGCCTGATGCAGAGCTTGAACTCCAGAGCAGCAGAAGGGACCTGACATATCCCATCCTTCAGCACGTGCTGAGACTCTGCCTCTGGTGAAGTCTCCCAAGATGGAAATCCCAGAGTGAAAACACCTGAGACCTGCACCCACCCTCCACCTCTTACGTGGCTTCTCACCCATGAGGCATTAAGCTTCTGTCCTCCAGCAAAGCTCAGCACAGGCTGCGTGAATAACTCAACGTAAAGCTGGCATAAATCTCAACAGAAGAAATATCTTTTATCTTTAACCATTTACTCCCACTATAGGAATAATGGCAGTTCTACATTTACATATAACTCTTGTTTGTTTGCTTTGCTTTGCTTTTTTTTTTTTTTCTCTTATCTTGGCACCTGCATAGCAGAAAACTTTACAGTTCATTACAGAAGTTTGCCCCTCTCTCTGCTCCTCCCTTTATTTACTCTGCTGCCCCGAGGACTAGCAAGCAACACCCCCAAGGTCAAGAGAGAATAAGGTGTTACCCTTTTATGACGGATTATAGAAATAACAAACATGCCTGACAGTTTTATACAGCTGCTAGAACGGGTTTAGTTTTCAACAAATGAAGAATTTCCTCTTTTTTTTCTCTTTTGTATATTAATTACATTTTACAAATCTTGTTTCTCCCCCCTTTCTTTACTTTCCCCCCACTTTTCTTGCTTTCTTTTTACTTTTTTCTCTTTTTTTTCTTTTCTCTTTTATTTTTTTTACAGCAAAAGGATCAACCAATCACCAACATGTCCACTGAAAAGTCCGGGTTAGCAGAGTTTGGCTGTCATCTGGTCCGACTGTTTGAGGATCTCGGTGTTGTAAAGGTCTAGAGCGTGGTTCACGCGGATGATCTCGCTGTTGGTGAGTTTCAGGCGGTGCTTGAGCATACAAGAGAACAGATCCAGCTGGGGCTTCCCTGGGGCTACGGGAGGCGCCAGTCTATTGATTCGGTCCCGAATATCCAGCAGCAAGAGCATAACGGAGGAGGAAGAATAGAACTGCCCACCTTGCGTGTATGACTGGTTGACCTGCTGCACGGCGCTGCGCAGTAAGTCAGCGTTAAAACGCAGGCTGTAGCCGTACACCTGCACATCCGAGATCTTGATGTAGAACTGACGCTTGGTGGGGTCAGAAAGGTCCACGGGCCCTTGGCCAGTCTCATTACGCAGCAGGGAGGGCAGCCGAGTCCGGCTGCGTAGGTAGATGTGGACGGTCTCGAAAAAGGTTTTCCACCGGTTTCCCAGTAGCAGGGTCCAGTTGTAGCACTGGCTGTTTTGGAGGCGGATTTTCTCCCAGCGCGGGTAGCCGTACTCCCCAAAGGGCATGTTCCAGCCCTCGGAGTGACTCCCACTGAAGGGGTTGACGTAGACAAAGAACATAGGGTCCAGGCTGCTGTTGCGCATCTGGCAGATTCGCATGGAGATCCCGATCACCATGTGGATGAAGTCCATCCTGTTCTTGTTGCTCTTCAAGGTGAGGGACATGCGTTTGCGCCACCGGGGGTCGAAGAAGGTGTCCAGGCGGATCTCGTTGCTGATGAAGGTGGTGTGCACATACAGGCGAGAGTCCATTTTCTGTAGCAGGTACTTCAACTCTAGGTCCTGGAAGTCCAAGTCTGTCTCAAAGCTGATGAACTGCTCACTCCGCTCTGAGTCTACGTTCTGAGGCTCACAGCGACCCCGGTAAAGCTTATAGCCCTTGTTGCACGAGCCGCAGAGAGAGATGTTGGCAAGGCTGCACATGGCACAGCTGTTGTTGCCCCCGATGATGCAGGGGATGGGGCGCTGGCACAGGCTGGTGCCACCATGGCAGACACAGCTCCGCTGGCTTTCCAGAAAGGTCCCCCAGAACCCGTTCTCATTGCAGTAGAGCAGGGACTGGACACGGGTAAGCCATTCCTGTATTGTCCTGCAGGTAGGAAGAAGAAAGCATTAACATCGTGGAGCTTCACAGAGTCCTTGGTGTTGTCATCTTACTGGACACACAGTGGTTTTGGGATATATCTATATATAGAGCACTCTAAGAACATTGATGCCCTGCCGTGGCATTCGGGAGCTCTTCCAGTCTATTTCTAGGCTGAATCTTTCACCTACTGTTTACTCCTTCAGTGGAGAACAAAAGCCCTCCAAGAAATGGCTCTAAGTTAGGTTTGATCAACTGAAGTCTCTCTCTTCACACTGCTCTAAGAACTGAGACTGGCACAGTCTCCTGCCAAGGATCCCATCAGTGCCACAGGGAAAAGGTTCAGCCATGGGAATGGAGCTGATAAAGCTGTGCCAGAGGCTGAGGTGCTATCAGATATCACAGGCCACGACTCCTAGGCTAGCAGGAGAAAACTCCTCTTCTTGTCATTTGCAATCCCCCATACTCTCCAAAACCAGACCTGTAGTGGGATGCAGCCAAGCTAGCAGTAACCTCTGCTTATGGTGCAGAACGTAGTAATAGCAGAAAAGAGAGTAAAAACCAGTGTGCATAGAGACAAAGCTGCTAAAGCAGCTTCTCCTTTAAAAAAATCTGCTGCTAATTAACCTCCTCAACAGCCTGTCCCCTATGGAGCAGCCACACTGCCCATTCCCAGTCCCCACCACTCCCATTATTGCTATATCAGCATCCTCACCTCCCCATCCCGCAGCCCTAGAACGACTCCTAATGCACGACACCGTAACTCCCGTTTGCTTTTCGTATAACCCAACTTGCAGTGTTGCCTTGCTGCCCCCTTCCCCCCCCCTCCCCAAAGCCCAGGGAAATAGCACAGCGACTCCTTTCTCCGCAGCCTTCAGCAGAATGCCTCGTTCAGCCGCCTCCCCTCCGCCTTCCCCCCAGCTAATGAATACTTCATTGTCTCCTCTGGGCAAAAAGTTCTTGGTTAGCGCTGCAGTGAGAGGACTGGCTAATGACAAATTAGGATTCAGTCCCTGTAGAACAGGAGGAGTGATTATGGACAGAGGCTCTCAGAGCTGGATTAGTGAAATTCATGGCACCTGCATCGCCTGACCTCCGAATAATCATTAAGCTGTAGGCTGTATCAAAGAAGGCATTAAATGATACAGCAGCAAAGAACAGCAAGATGATTAGGGGGAGGGAGCGAGCGGAGGGATGAGAGTATAAAACAGAGGAAAGTGCTGGAAGGAAAGAAATAATCAAGGAGCAGACACAGAGAGTAGGGGAAGAAAGAAGGGGGAAAACGTGCAGGTAAAAGGGAAAATGAGAGGGAAATGCAGTGGGCAGGAGGAATAGGGATGGAGAAGAGAGAAAAGGGAAAAAAACAGCCACAACTGAATGATGGAGGACAGGCAGGAATGAAAAGAAGCAGGAAGAAACTGAGCAAAAGGAAAAGAAAATGAGATGGAGTGTGGAAAAAGGAAGTGTGTTGGCAGGAAAATTCTGAAGTCTGAGATGTGGGAAGAGACAATTTTCACATCCTCCTGTGCTACAGGGCTGCCAAGGTCTCTTTCCCCTATTCAGAGCCAACAGGAGCTCTCCTGCAAGTGGAAAAGCCAAGGTCGGCTGGGGAGCTCGGGAGCACAGCAGTGACCTTTATAAATACCTGCTGTACAGGGAGAAGGTGACAGCCTTGGTCCCTAGAAAAAGTGCACGGGGCTCCTCCTGATTTCTAGGACAGCTCTGTTTCAGAGAGGAGGCAACAGCATAGCACAGTGTGACTGCAAAACATGTTGCTGACAGCAACAAGCAGTCTCAAAGCCATCCCCTGGGGACTGAGCCTGCCTCCTGCTCATAGGTGAATTTTTGCTTGCTTTTTTAGCACTAGTATTTTTCACCCCATCTGAAGCCTTTCAGTTCCTGTTTCGAGAGCCAGCCAGAGGTGTTTGAATTTAGCAAGGCACCCAGATTCCAGGTTTCAATCTCCCTAAGGTGCTGGGAGCTCACCTTGATTCCTTCATGCACCTCTTTGAGAGCTTAGTTCTCTGCTTCTAACCACTAACCTAAGCAGGAAGCTGAGGGATGATGAGCAAGTGGAGGACAAACTAAAACCAAACCAGCCTTTCGATATACACACACTGGCTGCCTGGGTTCGCTGGGGAATTGCTTAAGGGAAGCAGAAGGTTCCTGCCTGCTGCCTCTTTCCCATGGTTGGGCTTGATGACGATGAAAATCGGAGGTTGCTTTGAAGGGAGTATCTCCTGCAGCCCCAAGCTGCTTCCCTATCTCCCAATTACCAATCTTGGTAATTTCTACCAAGACAAGGACAGGGAGAAGGCCAGTGGTACCCAGAAAATGAAGGGCTGAGGCCACAGGCTGGTAGCAGATAGATGATAAACATCCAGCCCCATCACATACCCTCTCAGCATCCCTACCCCTGTATGTGAGGCGAGGACAGCATCTCCCCGATTTCCACAGCTCTATGGTCACATTTGGTGGTTCTTGCCAGACTGGGCTGCCAGTGCAGGTGGTAATGGTCGCTCACAGGGCTAAAGGTGGTTTGTGAGGTGGGTTTGGTGAGGTGTTCGGCACCGTCAGAGGCGTGCCTGTTTGCAGGCACCACTTCCATACAGCTGGCAATAGCCTCGTACAGCTGCACATGCAAACAACAGCCAAAGACACGCTCAGCAACTACCACACACAGATCTCAATTCCAGCTCTGTGCAATGACCATGACTGTCCTGGTTTCCTCGTCCACTTGCGCATGCCCAGGATTCCCATCTTATGTGCACAGTGCCGGCTTGATGCTTTACACAGGTTTTACATGTTGATAGTGCCACTGAGCTGATGGGACAAGGAGCACCAGGCTATACAGCAGGGGTCACAATAAAAATTAGGGTCAGATGACTACATCCTGGCTGGTTTAGGTGTGTTCTGTCTTAGGGAAAAAAAAAGTTATCTTTACATCCTTCTCTTATACTAACACTCAGCAGAGCGAAACGAGGAGTCTCGGCTGGTATCTTGTGATAGAAACTAGTAATTTTCCTGTTCCCCAGGTCAGTTTTGTAGAGGAAGGATGGAAGGACATCAGGAGAAAGAGAGGTGTGGGGTTTTTTCGTGTGTGTGTGTATGTTTTAGCATTCAGCAAAGACACAAGTCGAACCAAAAAAAAAACCAACCCACGGAAGATTACCCACCATCTGCTGATGGCAGCAGTAGCGGATGTAATTAAATGAAAACGCAGAATCCAGGGCAGAGCCGGGCATCGATTAGGAACATTACAATGGGAAGTGTGATAGAGAGGAAAAGTGGCATAAATTACCCCCTTTTGTCTTGCAACTGGGACAGGATAAGAATATACGCAGGACCAGTCCCAGCCCTTCAGCTGACAGGAGGTAACTTCTCAAAACGCACAGCCGTAATGGCTGAGGCTCATGTGAGTACAACCAAGAGATGTCAGGGCAGAAGGATGCTGAAAAGAGCCACTGTCTAAAAGCTAGAAGCCAGTAGCAGAAAATTCATTTAAATTATTTTCTCTTTCATTAAGAAGTCATCAGTTTATCTTTTGCCATCTTAATATCACTGCAAAAGTTATTTTGCCTCATGTTTGCTACCTCTGCCAGTTGATCTGAATAATATTTATCTGAATAATATTTATATAATCATATAAAAGAATATTTTTCTGGAGTATAAAGTACTAGTGCATGTGAAATTAAAACAGGGAAAACTATGTCTTCGAAGGTCACTGTCAAGCAGTTTTACATTCAACTTTAATGTCTTATATTCCAAATTAAAATGACAATAATAAAAAAAAAAAGACGTCCAAGCAAGGCTGGGATGAGAGGTTTTTTTTGCAGAGTTTACTCGCTGTTGTTCACTGGGGCCATTCAGACCCTGGCAATGCTGGGAACTGGGAGCCAGGTAATCAGGCAGAGCTGTTTCACTATTTAAAACCTATCTGTCATGAGAAAAAAAAATATGTTTTGCAGGCCAGTGTTGGGCTTTCAGATCAGAAGCGGAGGTCAAGTTATACAGAAAGGTGAGGAATAATTTTCTTTCCTCCTGACTTGTCATCCTTCAGGATTAATCAGGTCTGGGGAGGGGAAGGGGCTGATGAGTGTCCCTTGAGACAAAGATGCAGCTTTGTTATAGATGGTGTCTGAGATGATTAGAAAACCAAACTGTACTGAAACCACAACAAAAACAAATCGAACCAAACAAAAAACCACAAAAAACCCCAACCAAAAACCCAATCCAGCAGCACAGATTTTTTTTTTTTTTTTTAATAATTGCAAGAGAAAAGGTAGAGATTTAACAAGTTTTCTTTTGCAAACTCACCTCACTTTCCAACCAGCACTAGCTGCTGTGGAGGTACTTTTGGGCTTTCTGTATGGAACATTGAATTAAAAAAATGCTATTTTTATTCTCAGCAGCTGTGAGATGTATTCTTAACTAATGACAATTTGGCTGGAGCCCAGAACATGTACCAACCCCCCACCTCCTTTGGATGTTATTTTTATTTTGCATCCAGAGTTTTAAAATGCAACTATAGGTACTCATTCAACATTGAAGCTTTAACAGCTAAGGACTGGTTTCTTTTTTAAACCAACAAACTTGTCCGTAAAGAGGTGTTTTTTTCAGTAAAAGTGGTGCACAGCAAATACATATATATACATATTTCTTTCTTAGCTGTTGCAAAAGGTCATGGGGAATCAGCCTCGTTGCCAAAATCCCCACTCTTTCTTTCAGAAACACCACCTCTTCCCTTCCCTGAGGACAATCAGCAGCAGTCCTATTTACTTTTCACATTGCTTTTGAATATATAATGTCGGTTTACTATTATGTCTATTAAAGAGAGAGGCTTGCTCTTAATAGAACCTTTCCATTCCACTGGAATGCTTGATAAGCGTCTGTCGTTCTGTACAGTAACAATTAGAAAATCGGAGGATTTCCAAGCCCTGTGAAAAGAGTGATGAAATGCATACCTCTTCCTCTACATATCTGTCTACCGAGCCCCTCCCCTGCCTAGCTACAAATGCAGAATGACAAATAAGAAAAGAAATTATAATATGCCTGGTGGTGTTGACTTAAACAAATCAAGCACATCAGTCAGTTAAAAACCCAGCTGCCATCATCCATTTCGTCCTCCTTCCCCCACATTTTATAGTATTAGTAGTTGGAGGCTCCTTTTCTGCGTGACTGACTTTTTAAAATAGAAGAGAAATGCTAAAGACATATTTGTCTGAATGTTTTGCAGCAACACGGTTGGCTGGATATGTGCTTGCTGCTGCTTCACTTTGTTGTTGTGGCACAACTCAGAAAAAAGCCTGGCCATGCTGGTGCCTTCTCCACCAGTTGGCTCCTTCATAGCAGCTCAGACAGCTGGCAGGAATGGGCCACTTTTAGGAAGTTCTTCAAAAACTCTTAAACATAATAAATATTTCTCCTCATCTCCAGTAAGTCCATCAAGTTTTTGTCCAGAAACATGAGATTTCTTGGTAATTAAGGAGATGTTAAACCCTGGAAGAGTTTCCCAAGCTGCACAGTGGTGCATTGAAAACTCAGAGTGTTTAGTGGCCATTGGGCTGGGTGATAACAAAAGATAGTCGTCAATCAGTTTATTTTCTCTTGAGACTGAATATTTAGGTAATGAAGGAGAAAAAAAAAACCGAACAGTTTCTCTACAGTTTCTCTACAAATATTAACTTGGCCTGACCCTTCCAAGAGAAGCATGGAAGAAAAAGCACTGGGACTCATTTTTTCCTATATTTTCAGTTTTACTTCACTTCAGACAACATAGAAAGAAATATCAAGAAATGCTTATTAAAATCCACAGATGCAAGTCTCCAAAAATGATTGGAAGCTAACCTAAACTCAGCCGTAGGTCAGGGCTGAAAGAAGCCAGCAGGGGTGACTATTGGACATCAATAGTTGCTGTAGCTGTAATGGAAAGTCTACTCTCTCCATCTGTAATAACATCACCAGATTTCTGGTCAGTGCAGGTTTGCAGGTTCACTCTGAATTTTGTAGAAGAGATGTGATCTGTTCCAAGTGAAACTAAAGCTTCTCGTTCACTCTGGCTAGATTCATTGAGAAGCACAACTCAAGAATGGGCTGAAGCATCTTGTGCTCCATATGTCCACTTTAACAGCAAACGGAGACTTAAAGTTTGTCTGTGGTACATGATGCAAGACTGCTTAAAAAGCCGCTTAGTCTGCTTAGTTGTCTGCTGTCAGCCTGTAATATTCTTGCAGAACACTGCAGAGTGAGTGGGTGCCCTTCACTTGGGTAGGTAAGACTACACAGAAGTGACATGAATAAGCTTAGGTATGGGATAAAGGCACTTACACCTCCAGAAATTTCAACCCACTCCCAGGCTTTACCATGTTCCTCCAAACCTCCATGTCATAGAATCCCAGAATGGTTTGGGTTGGAAGGGACCTTAAAGATCATCGAGTTCCATCCCCCTGCCATGGGCAGGGACACCTCCCACCAGCCCAGGTTGCTCAAAGCCTCATCCAGCCTGGCCTTGAACCCCTCCAGGGATGGGTCATCCACAGCTTCTCTGGGCAACCTGTTCCAGCCTGTCACCACCCTCACAGTAAAAATTTATTTCTAATATCTTATCTAAATCTGCCATCTTCCAGTTTAAATCCATTACCTCTTGTCCTGTCACTACATGCTCTGTATCCAAACACTTAGGCTGTTGGGTTTAGGTCCAAGCCCAGGCTCAGCTCCACCAGTCACCCATCACACCACATCCCTCCCCGCTGAAGGATGAAGGTACCTTTCTCTAGGCAGCTGGTGGTTAGGGTTGTGCCGACATCGGACACTGAGGCCAAAGAGTTTGCGGGCAGTGCGCTGGATCTTCTGGCGCTGGGCTTCCAGGGAGCTCTGCAGCAGCTTGTAGCGGTTCTGCAGATCCCAGTCATTCCCCCAGTGCTGGTGGATGCTCCCAATGGTCAGGAAGTGGTTGCTAGGTAGCCTTTTCATGAAGGATTTAAACTCATCTGGAACACAGAAAAATGGGGAGAAATACAGAGGTTTCTGAACTCTAACAAAGTTACAAAGCTTTTCATTAGCGGGATGGAGAAACAGTGATGATGTATGAGACCATCAGTGCTCTGCTAAAGGAAGGTGATGTCCATTAACTCACTGGTCTGTCATTCTGCCCCAGGAAGCCCACTAGTTCCACGGCTGTTGCTGCTCCCATATGGGAAATGAAACGTGGAGAGTATTAGGGTGAAACGACACAGTTAATGTGTACAGAGAGAAAAAAAGAGAGCAAATTCCCTGGAGCATGGGATTATAGTCTAGGGGTTATGAACAGAAAGCAGGGAGTTGTAATAATTGTCAGTTAAAGAGTTCTCATTGAAATTGGTTTTCGTCTGCTCCTAAAATGCCGTTTGTTGTTGAAGTCAAATCACTTTGGTTGTGTTGTTAAAAAAGAGGAAAAAAAAGCTTTAAAAAAGTCCCCAGAGGAAGGTTTGGATTGTGTTAAAATATCCTGCTTTCTCATTTTTTAAAAAGAGCATTGTGATTCTTTTTTTTTCTCATTTAACTTCAAATGAAGTTAAATGAATTGCTTTATGTAACAATGAAAATAAAATAAAATAGTTTGCAGGGCTAAAGTCAGAACAAAATGTGTTAATTTTAGCCAAAGGAAAAAATCTAATTGATCCAAATATATGTTGTTAAATGTTGTTTTGTGATCATTTTATTTCCGTTTGATTTTGTTTGATAATGAAAAAACCATTATGTAGGGTTTGAGTTTTTTCATCATAAAACAAAATCTGATACTGTTTCTGTTTATGACCAGCCCTTTGTTCCTAACTGAGAAGTATAGCTTGCTTAGACTCTGATTACCAGGCTGGGACATCCTCCTATGGAAAAAACAGATGGTTCCAACTTTCTCAGTAGAAAATAACCCAATTTTTGATACCAGAAAACTATGTTTGACACACTGAGACCTCGAGAAACATGAGGAGCAGGCCAACAAAAATCCATAAAGTGCAATAAAGAACAAAGTTCTGTACCAGGATAGAAGAACCCCACGCGTCCGTACAGGCTTGGAAACAACCAGATGAATAACAGCCACTAGAAAGGTCCTGGGCATTGTGGTGGGCACCATACTGCAGGTGGGTCAACACTGTGTTCACACTGGAAATCACAAAGTGCACACTGGGCTAAACCCAGGAGTTAATATTCTCCTCTTCTTGGCTCTCCTGAGGCTGCATCTGCATTTCTGTGCCCAGCTTTGGGGACACCCAGTTAAAGACAGGCTTTGAGAAACTGGGGAGGGCAGAGCTGAGGGCTGCCGAGATGGTCAAGGGATTGGAGCACAAGTCCTCCAAGGTCAGGTGGAGGGAGCTGCACTTGTTTAATCCAGTGAAGAAGAGGCCAAGGGGCAATCTAATTACAGCCTACAACTGCTTAGAATGTACTTACAAATACGAAGGGGAAAAACTCTTCTTATTAGAGACAGATGATATAACAAGGAGCAATAGTCAGTTTACAGCTTGAGAAGTTCAAATGATTTATTGAAAAACTTCTTCACCTGGAGGTAATGCAGCACTGGAACATGGTACCCAGAGATGTAGAAGAATCTCTCATTTTAGACTCTGCTAGACAGAACCATGGCTGGCCTGACCTAGTGCTGGTGGTAGCCCTGCTTCTAGAGGGAGATGGACTAGAGCCCTGCCATAAACCCCACAAAGTGTCCAACTAGAAATGGAGACATCTTTTCCTGTAAGTTATCTACATTATTTTTCTTCCTCTCCTATCTTTTTTTTTTTAAATTCCTTCATCCCATTCTCAGAAGAAAAAGAGGACAATAGCCACCCCCCAAAAAAAGGCAAAAAATGAAAGCTTTTAAAGGCTGCTCTTTTCAAAAAAATAAATAATCCACAGAATTATTGAAGAAAATCAGACCAGATAATTTACAACCTATTCTACCAGCCTTATATATATTTGCATAACAGATTTCCTATTATTCAGCAACTTGCAGTTCACGCTTAACTGCCTAACAAAGAATATCTATTCTATGTCCTACTCATCACACGGTGAAACCGAGCACCTAATAAAAATAATTATCATCATTGCACTATCAAGATCCACAGGATGTCTGCTTGTCTCCTTTCTTCCCCAAAGATAACCGAGAGACATTTTTTAAAAATCATCTCTCAAGTTTTCACTCTATTTGTAGTGCTGCTTTCAGTGCCCTTCTCCTCCCCAAAAATTATTCTCTTCTGTTCAGTGGTCCTCTGAAACTATCATCATCTATAATTGCTTCTGTTGACCATGCTGATTACTCCTGGTACCTTTCAGCAGTAAAAGCCTTGCGTTTGCTTCCCGCCCCTTATAAATCAATTTCCTCAAAAGCCTGTTTGTGCAAAAGACCAAGCTCTTTTCCCTCCGATGATGAATGTGCTACATTTTTCATAGAGACAGGTACGGGAGAAATTTCAGTGCAGTGCGCACATTCTGATACTGCAGTGCGATGGTAGGGGAAAAACAAACCAGCAAAATAAAAGCTGGATGGGGTTGGGTTTTTTTTTTTAAAAAAAAGGGGGTGAAAAAAAATTTATTTCAAAAAAGAATAGGAAGAATAGTTTCTTCATTATTTGTTTCTATTTATTTCTAACTATCCCTGGAGGCCCCAACCAAGACTATGGCTGCATCGTGCTAAGCCTTGTACCTTTCTGGGAACAGTTTATTCTTAGCCCTGAGAATTTCCAATTCACTACTAAGGCTGTTTGCTTTTGCTTTTATTTTATTTATCTGCATAGAAAATGCAGATGAAGGCTAGGACTACCTCTCTCATAGTGCAGCATGGCCCCTCTTTCTGCAGAGTCACCCAGTCCCTGCAGGCAGTACCCTGGCGGTGACTCATCATCCATCGCAGGTGGTACGGGGCAGAGGGTCCAGCCTTGGGAGAAGAATAGTGGCATCACAGTGACATGGCCACATCAAACATCTCTTTCAAAGATTAAACTTTCATTTTCCAGTGCTTGTCTTTTCAGTTAAAAAAAATTTCACATTTTAATCAGAAAGCAATAGTGCTGCAAAAAACCTCCTCATGACTTTTAATCAAAAGGCGGTTTTAAAATCCAGAATCACAGTCCTGACACAGAATTTTTTGGCCAGATGTACAAAAATGCCAAGAATAAAACAGTGTTATTTTTCTCAAATTAAACATGAGCAAGGAAGCACAGAACTAACACAGATGTCCTGAGCTGATTTAAAGCAGCATCAGTTCCCTGCAGCCTCCTTGCCTTTGAAGATGCTATCCCAAATCAGACCAGCTCTTGATGTGCCCTGCATGATTTTTTTTCCAATTGACATAGGAATCCAACACAGATCAGAAACAGAATATAGATCTTCTAGGCTATCAGCAGCTTCCTGTGCAAATGGCATTTGCTTTCAGAGCACTCATCTGCCTTTCAGCCCACTTTATTGGAAAAGCCTTCAGATGTCATTAGAGATTTCTTTGCTGCTGTTCATTATGAAGACAATCCTGCAGTTATTGGGAATATTTATTAAAACAAAGAAGCAAAATACTAATATTACATTCTTTTGTGATAGCAACTTCCATCTCAAAGGATAAGTTCACGCATGATGCAACAAAATGATGAATGAGACGCAGCAGCTTTAAACATAAAGTTAATCACTCCATCTAGCCCTGAAAACCTCCAGCCCTGGACGGAATATGGCTTCAGCATAGCAGAGAATTGCACTGCAATGTGACACTTTAACATGGCAAATGAAAAAACACCTTCCCCTGTTGAAGTCTCGAGAGAAGGAAGACTGAATATAATTGTCTACCACTGTCTTTGCTTAGATCAAGTGCAACAAGTACAGAATGTAGCAGTAAAACAATCACCGTGGGACGGCAATCCTTCTCTCTCTAGAGGGCTCTGACCTTCTTAACGTCTGGGTTAGATCCCCTGGGTATGCAAAGGGGTTTGATGAGTGGTGGCCAACATGTGGCTCTTCAATAACTTTTATGAAGACCCTATGCCAGAACTAGCCACTAGTAATACTTAACTAGTGGCAGAGCTGCGCTGGCAGGCACTGCCGGTAATCCCAATTTGTGTAGTACTGAGCTGTCAGAAGGTTCTGAAATCTACATTTCAGGTTTGCCCTGGTGCACCCACCCCCATCCATGAATCTAGAGGAACTCCTAGAAAGCCACTGACATCTTCTGCTAGTGACCTATGTCTGGAACTGCCCCAGCCTTGTGCCTCCCCATAGTATACGGGGGACTCTTGTCAAGATGGCTATATCAGCCTTGGCCATTAACGACTGCTCTGACTTTGCTGAGCAGTGGGAGTTGGACATAGGAATCTGTGCAACAGCAGACACACCAGCACGATCCACATATTGAAGGATGAAGCAGTCCTCAACAGCCCGTTGAGGAAACATCATAGGCTGCTTTGTTTCAGCCATTAAATGGATTAAGGTGACTTTCAACTTGAGGAAAGAAGCTGCTGCTGGGAAGAGTTCTGAAGAAGAATTCTCCAATGCCTTGAATGGACCTAGATGCTGCCATCCCAATAGCTTTCTTTCCTAACATGGAGACTTGGGCAGTTATGACAATAATCCTTAAAGAAAATGTGTTGGAAAATAACCAGTTAACACTAAGAGATGAGAGGTAGCACTGGGATAAGAAGTTCTCGATTGAGTTCTCCTTGGTGCCTGTGTGGCTGCAGGGTGGGCAGAACACTTGCTAAAGGAAAGGATGGGATTGCACTGATAATATTGCTCCTTCCTACCTTGAGCCCTTGAGAGTGATGTTGCACACCTACTATGGGGGTTGCCAGCATCAATGTGGAACAAACTCCCCTGACAGCCCCAGAGTCACACTGGGAGAAAGGGAAGGGAGAAGAGAAACGTTCACACCAGCAGACATCGGCACTATAGGAGAGAGAAGTCATTTTCCCTTCTCCTCTCTATCTCAAATGAGGTGTCATCTGGCCTGTGCTCGCTCTCTGTGAATTGCCTTTCACCAAAGCAGAATAAATCGTTCATGCAAACCTGAAAAGCAATTTCTGCATCATTCATATTGTGGAAATTTTTCTGTAGAACTATTAAAGAGAGATTTGGAGCTGGTTTAGTATGAAAAATCAGATTTTTAATCAAACAAACTCTTCCACAGAAAATATCCCCTTATGTATATAATTACGTGTGGTGTGTGATTTTGTCTGTACGTGTGTAGAGAAAAAAAAAGGCACTCCCTCAAAACTAAGATCATGGGTTTGGGTTCAATATCCTCTATTTTTCTTAATCCAAAATGGAACGTTATATTAAGGGAAAAAAAGGATTCTTAACTAGTATAGTCTGACATGTATTGTTTGAAAGAAACCCATCAGAAAATGTGTTTTGCTCAGTTACCTGAATTCTCCAGATCTTTATAGGCTTCTGTCCAGGTCTTGGCCATGTTGGCTAGCGTGTACTCCATGATCTGGATGTCGGTGATGGGGCAGTTGCACTGCGGGAACTCCTCGGCACACTGGCAGCCACACTGGCTGTTCCGGCAGATGTACTCCCCCTCGCCATTGCACATGATGTAACTCAAGGCAGATTGGACAAACTTCTCCTGTAAATACTGCGGGAAGATGATCTGGAGACCTGGCAGAAAAACAAGAGGCACGGATATGAAAAAATAAATAAACAGTCATTTCAGGTACCTGTTCATCTTTTCAAAACCTGTTTCATTAACAGCTTAGGAAAGTGATGCTGAGGAATTAAAAGCTGCTGGGACGTTTCTCTCGGAGCTGTCGTGAGTAAGGTGGGGTACAAATTGCCTCCAGTGCAAGCAGTGAGTTAGCTGAGAGAAGAGCCCATCTGCTCTACAAGAGAAGGCTGACAAGTAACTTCCCCCTCCCCAACACCCAGCGTACCCCCTTCATCCCAGTCCTGGATCCCAGTCCAGTACAAAGCATCTGAATGCAAAGCCCCCCTGTTCTCAGGTGTGGGATTTTTTTCTGTACTTTGCAAGCAAGTGGTAGTTCAGAAGCGATGAGCATTGTACTGTTCTGACCTGTTTTCAGAGAGACTAAATAGGTTTGGTACCACAGAAGCAAGGAAACCACACACTGAAAGAGAAAAGAAAAAAGGAAGGAAAACAGAAGAAAGGAAAATAATACAAGTGGGGATTTATAAGGGACCCTTGCAGAGTTAAGTGCCCAGCTCCAGCAGGATAAATACAGGAGCAGGGTACCTGAGCCTTTTCAGCTCGCTCCCTGCTAGGAAGGCAACTTGCCAAATCCTATAAAAGTGCAAATGGATTTAGTGCCAATGATTTCAGCGGTGCTCTGAAGATTTGCATTAGCCAAGAGATCTATCCCCATGTCCCCTCCTCCATCGCGAGTGCTTGCGTGCCCATCCGTCTGTGCAGGCAGCAGCGTAGGTGTGCGCTTGCTCAGGTTCCAGAGGACACGATAACGGTTTAAGTGTTTGCCTGGTGTACAGCATACGTGTTTTTCCATCCTCTTCTTCTCCAGCCCCATCTCTGGGCTCCCTACAGATGTCCCTGAGGATTCACAGCTGTTTCTTTCTACCTGGTGAGTCCTGCTTGTCAGACTCGGTCAACATCTGCGGTGCAGGAGGCAGAGCCGACAGTAACTCTGAGCGAGGGTTTCACGGGAAGCCTGGACGGCTTCGCTTTCCTTGTAAAAGGCTCGGGGATGGCAGAGCAGCAGATAAAGGATTTTATGGCTGGAACAGCAGCACTGAACTCCAGTGTAATGAAGGCACGCGGGTCAATTACCCATCTGTTTGTGTTTCTGTTGCACTGAATTACTATATCCGCAGCTGACAGCTCATTGGAGTGGAATGAAAATAAGACAATAATTCAGAGGATGAGAGCACCCAGGAAGGGCAGGAAGGGCTGTGACTCCTTTCAGGAGTTCAGGCCCATCTCTGTGATGGGTCATGTTCACCTCAGACAAGAGAAAAGTGGTGGCCAGTGCCCCAGGGACCCCCAGGACCCTTTTGCTTTTGGTTCCACAGAGACACCTCAGCCTTGACAATGTCCCTTGGGTAGACCACGTCTGGGGGTGTCAGGAGGGTGTTGGAGGCACAGGAACCCTGTCTCCTCTCCCCTCCTGCTATCACCAGGGCACCATGCCTGGTGGCAATGAGCTGCCCCCTTGTCTGACCGAATTTGCAGCCGAGCGTGGAGCAGCGGCAGCTGCTGGGCAGGATGGACACAGAGCAACCTTCAGCTGGAGAAGACATTAGTGCCACTCACACAGGGAAGGATTTCAGACTCTGCATTTGGAGGCACTGTGTCTGCATAGATCCTGCTGCCTTTTCCCCAGTGCTGTTGCAGGGAAGGGAGGGAACACACAAAGAGCCGAGCACAGTCTGCAGCGTCCCTGCGAGCTCCTCACAACTAGTCTAACGGGGATCAGCACTGTAAGGTCCCTTTGGTCGTTCCTGAGATGTTTCTCAATAAGCAGCTTTCTTCCTGTTGTCTTCAGGAAAGACTGAAGTTCAGTCTCTTTTAGGAATTTATCTGAAGCAACACCACAGAGAAATGGTCCCTTTTCAGACCTTCACACTGACGTTAGGGATGGTCTCACCTGCCTGGCTCCAAGACTTCCTTTGAGGATGGAAAGAAAATGAAGAGCTGTTGGAGAACTGAGAACTACAAAAGAAGCCTGGAGCCCCTGAAGGCTGCTGCACTCACCAAGCCTGCAGGCTCCCAGGAGAGGGGAGCTGGGTTTCTTGATGGGCATTGACCCTGTTTGTTCATGGTCCAAGTCCCATGAACAAATCTTTCCACTCTTTGCTTCATGGAGGAGCAACCTGCCCTGGTTGCTCCTCCAGCCTTTGAATATGAGGCCCAAATGCCCACAGGCTCTTCAGCTCAACATATTTTTCTTTTTGAATTTTAACTTGCATAACAGCACCGACATGCTCTCTGGTCCCAGCAACAAATGATACTGGCTTTGGAGATTTTTTTTTTTCTGGAAGGAAAAGGAGTGAAAAAAAAGCAACTAAAGTTTAGAGAAAGCCCTTCCCATTGCAAGGGATGTCAATTGTGTATCTCAGCACATGCAGAAACATGGGTACCCCCTAATCTCCAAAATAGAACATGGTCCCATCCTGCAGAGTGCCTCATGTGGGTACTTGCTTTTTGTCCATAAAACTCACAGATTCTAAAAACACATTTCCAGGATAAGCTTCTCTTGTAAGAAATAGTCTCATGTTTAAGAGGCAATCAGATTCCCTGTACACTTAGCACCAATTCAACAAAACACTTACATAAACACTTCACTTTAATCAGGTAAGCAGTTCTGCTGGAATCCATGCAGTTAATTGTAGCATTTAACAAGCAGCATGTATTCAAATGTGTGCTTAGACCAGGAACACAAGTGACACACAAATCCAGCTACTCATCGACACGCGAGTGTGCATACACCAAAAGCAAAGCCCCAGCTTCAAAACTGCAAACATGCTCTAGGGATCATGTGTCACTCAGATCTTCCTGCCAGGAATTTCCTTGTGGAAGAAAAATGAGTTTTAGGGCTACTGAAATACAACTATGTCTGCTTTCACATTTGTACTTCGAGACATACAGATACGTGTGTGTATATATATTCATACGTATAAATATCCACACATTTGACATCATACCCAGACAAGGGGCAGTTCATATAAATATTTTTGGCTTTTGTATTGAGCATCCTTGTGACCAGATCTTATAAAAATATTTCACAAGCACTAAGCTAGTAGCATCTCACTCAGTCCTGGTACCCTCCTCCATCATCCTTGTGTAGTTCCGTACCATGCCCTGTGACTAAATATTGCTGAAATTGAGTTGAGGCTGTCAGTAAAGCACAGGTGTGATTAATAATTTTTAAGGTAATCTTTACAAACATGAGATGGTAAGAAGGCCAAACTGGTTGAGACCACTGCTCTGGGTGCTTCTGTTGCCACCTTTAAAGCAGGAAAGCTTTAAGTCCCGAGGACTGAAACAGCACAGCAGCCCCACAGAGCAGCTTGCAGCTGGCCGTGCCAGCTGGGAAAGCCCTGCTGCCAGCCACAGCCTTCAGAAAACATCCCAAGATGCTGTTTGATTCTCTAAGAATTTGCTCTGAATATTGCAAACACAAATTTTTTTTTTTTTTTTAAATCTTTCAGTGTTGTCTACTGATAAGGCAACCTAATGTTAGCAGCCAAGCAGGGGGGGCAACCTGGTCTTAAAGACTGCGATACTGGCCATTGTCATGGGTGAACACCTCAACTGAAGCCAGGCTGTGCAAGGAATGGGTTCACCCTCCACAGCAGCCTCGGTAGCTGACAACACATGCAGGAGGTAAGTTTGCTGGTGACGAGTGTTAGGGAGAGTGTCTTATTTTTGAAGGTAACTTATTGATGAGAAGGAGGAATTCTGCCACTCTGCAAAGAATGAAGTTCCTCTTTAAAAATTAAGAGCAGCATAGATTCGGTGTAGGTTTGTCTTAGATAACTACAGGCAGAATATGAAATGTCTGACACAGGAACGTGTCCTTAATTCACCTAGAAAAACTATTAGAGAGATGTTTGGCTTTGGACTGTATATAAAAGGCTTCCTGCATTAAAAGAGGTAAATTTCCCTAGCTCTAAATTAGAGCTATTTGAAACATTTTCCACAGAAGAGTTCTCTGTTGAAAATGCAGTTTCATTGAAGCATTTTGTGAGAGCATGTTGACTCCAAAAGCACTTTTGACAGGGAAAGGTCTAAATGTATTTTTCATACTTCCTCATTTTGGTTCGCTGAAGAGCTGAAATGTTTTGCGTTGTCATTAATGTTCTGCCCATCTTGGCAAAGACTTTAATATTATTGTAATGTAAATTTTAATATTCTATTACTGTATTTGACGTAACAAGCTACCTAATACACAATGTTTCATGTTTAATTTTGCAATGTTTAGAACAGCACAGAAGGATTTTACCTTATTGAAAGAGTGCCATGTTGCAATATTGACACATATTGTCACGCTGTCCCGGAGGATGTGTCTCTGGAATTTTAATTTCCCAAAACTTTTAAAAATGTTGCTTTTTTTCCACTCAAATTTTCAAATTTCAGCCTAGAACGCTTTTCCAGGGAACACAAATTCCTGTTTCCCACCAGACAGCTGTAGAGCTGTCAGCATCTTCCCCTCCCATGCTCTGGTTTACCCCTTTTCCAGGCAGCTTGTGCATCAGCCACATGGGAGGCGGAGGCAGGTGAAGGGACGGTTTTGTGCTGGTGGCAGGGACAGGACGATATGAAGTGCAAATAAGTGCAGTCACCTTTGGGATCCTTTCCCACAACAGGATTCCCCCGGTCCCATGAGGGGGAAACTGTGTCACCACACAGCCCTCCCCATGCACAGGACAGGGAACCTGCCCCCAGGTAGTGCTAGAGAAAAGGGAAACCTTCGAAGCTATGGGATAAATGTACCTGTATGTCTTCCCCAGTGCAGGCATCTGACACAGATGTACGTGCATGCTGGGTCCACATGGATGCTGGTGTGTAAGTTAATGATCCTTTTCTGTCTGTGCAACCATAGGTGCAGAACCAGACACTCTGCACTGCGCAGGCATCCAGGTCCTCCCCCAGATCTCCAGGCTGGCTGACCTTCCCGAACCCTGCACACAGGCGTGAAGGGAGCTTAGCTCTGGGTCTGGCCATTGCCTTTCCTCTAGGGCACGTCTTTGAAACCACCACTCTCAGGGCTGGGCGGCAGCAAGCGAGTTCAGAAACAGACATTCTCCCTGTCACGAAGATGCTGCTCTTTTATTGAGCCAGCCTCGGAGCCGGAGTGACATGAAGGTAGTAACATGGATTTCTGTCAACAGCTCATGCTCGGCTGCTAATCAGATCAGAGAAGACTCGGTCACGATCCATTACCTGCAGCCCTGTGACTAATTCCTAATGAGGCCTCTCAGAGCAGAGGAAGGATCCTGGGTAATTATCCGAAGAACCGCACTCCAGATTTGGCAGAAAACACTGAGGTGTAGCTTTAAAGGTCATTTTGTCCTATTAGGAAGAACTCTTCCCTTCCTCCCTTCCCTCCCTGTCTCCCTTGGCTTGACCCTGGCTTCTCTCTGCACTGGGTTATGCCACAAAGCTCCATGAAACCCATGTCTGGCTGACCCCTGAGGTCCTCTGTCTGCTCCCATCAGAAATCACAGCCTCATCCACCTTACAGCCCTTCTCTCTCCTAAATTTTCCCTCTTCTTCCGCCTCTTTCCCCCTCCCAGGCATCTTGCTTTTTCTCTTCTCTCGCAGGATCAGATAACCAGGAGATCTATCGATTTACCTACTTAGCACTTTGCCTATAAACCGAGCTGTCTGCTTATTTAGCTGCTTACCTAGTTATCTGATGTGTCATCCTTGGGTTTTCATTACCAGCCGCCATCATCACAGTATATAAAAAGCCTCAAATTGTTTATTGTTAATTAGGTAAGAACCAGAACTCAGTGATTTGGATAATCACCGGAATAGTGAGAACAACCTGCCTATTATTTTTAAAGGCAAATAATAACAACAATAATAATAATATATCTGCAACGTGACTCAGTAAATGAAACCCACTTTCTGTGAAACCAAGATTAAAACAGCCCTTGCCAAATTATACTCAAAGTGGAAGATGTAATGTAGCCCATTCATCTGAAAAATTAAAATTTGTGCAAGTACAAGGTTTCCAGAAATAAAACCATCTGGGCAAATGAGCAATTAAATCCCACATTTCCTTATATTCTCAAAAACTTGGGAATAACCCTAGTAAATTACACGCCCAGTGAATTTTCTCCTTCTACTGAAGTTGACTTCTTGCTAACCAGCATGTATTTATTTATTAATTCAGTCATTACCTCTTATCTGTTGACTTCTGAGCTAGTTTCTCAACTGGGATTGAAGCCATGGCTTCTAGCATCCAAATACAACCTCTATGACTTTTCCCAAAGATTACGGTCATTAGAGAGTCCCAGAAGCTGATCTGCAAATCTTACACAAATCAGCAATTTGGGAGGCACAGAGACGTGGACAGAATGCCCCATCAATGTTAACAGAAAAGGTCACATTTATTTACATCAATGTATGTATCATACACAGAAGTCCATCAAAATTCAATGATGGGGGCACCCAGACACTTTACGTGGGTCCAGTCTTCCAGTCTGCAGTTCCTCGTGCCTTTAGTTCAGTCCCTGTCAAGCCCTGTCTCTGCTGTGCTGAGCATCACACGAAGCCACCAGAAGCCATTGGTCCCGCTTCAGGGATATTACAGCAAAGAAGATGATCACAGCAAATAGAGGAAGGGAAAAGGCTAGAAAAAAGGCCACCAGTCTCTCATTTCATCCACCCACTCCATGCCCTGTATGACCATCTCCCCCATTCCCTTGCCCTACCTTGCAGGTGGAGTTTGCTCTCAGTGCTTTGCAGAAGGACAGAACTCACAGAGTCCAGATTGTCGTAGCTGTTACAGCCCAAGGGGCCAGTCCGAGTTTCTGTTACCTGTGGAGGATGTAGAAAAGAGAAAGTGTTCCCTTTGATTGCAGCATCACATCTTCCCCAGGCAGGTTCAGACCTTGTAATATAATGACCCCTTACACCAGCTGATACAATCCAAAATGCATCTTCCCTAACTGGGAAAACATGCCCCGCACTGGATAGACACGGCTAATGCTTGGCACACTCACAAGCTGAAAAACCAGAGTGAACTGTATCTGCTTTCTTTATGGTACTGCCTGTTATTCTGGGCTTGGCAATGAGGTCCTGCAGATTGATGTTTCTCATAGAGGATCTCCATTGGAGAACATCAGAAGCCAGTAGAGGAATTATTCCCTGGCTTCTCTTACTGGAAAGCAAGATGCAGAGATGGATTGCCAGCCCACCATGGTGCCTAGTGCTCCCACAGCATATGTGCACACTGTGCTTGTGCTGAGGATAGAAGGAGGCACAGATGACCTGCAGAGCTGTTGCTGTGGTGGTTGCTGTTGGTTTCCAGCCATGGAGGAGAGCTGCCCTTCCTGAATTCACAAAGGGTGATTATCTGCTGTCACTGTTGCAGTATCTCAATTCGATTTCCCATCCAGGAGGGAACAGACTCAGCCATGAGACACCACAGAACAATAACAAGACCTGAAACCTTTCAGAAATGGCTAACAATGACAACTCCATCTACATCACCTTCCCTGGAGTGAACTCTGCAACAATAAAATCCCTCCCCAGCATAGGATGATTGCTTTCAGAGAAGGCAGCCTTTGTCTGCAGAGCCATTTTCCCTATTTTGTGTGCTCTGAGCAGCTCTCCTTCTTTCCTGCTGCAGCCCCCAAGCTGTCTCTCAGTCCGCTTCATTCCAGATGCCTCAGTAATGCCACACTGAGTTTTTCACCTTTTCTTGTAGGAAATTCATCTGAGAGATGTTTAGCAGCCTTACACCCACAAGAGGAAAATACTTCTGGGGTTGCCCATTTCACAGACCTGCCTTTCCCTTCCAGCCTCCTGTGCTGATCTGGATTATCTCTTCCCTCTCTCCCAGAGGTCACTGCCACACATAGTGGAAGTCTCCTATCCTACATAACCATCAACTGAATGCCCACCTCCTTCCAGATATTACTGGCCCTGGGGAAATAAACTCTTTGGTAAGGTCCATAAGAGAACAATTTTACCCTGGGAAATCAGTACAGGAACAAAACAACTTGTAACCAAAAAAAGACATCACACTGGACCAGCAAAGTCCTGTCCCAAGTCCCTACAGTACCGGTATAGATACGTAATCTTCTTTCTCTTCCCAAGGCAAGATACAGTACCTTGATTGCTCCAGTAGAGATCTGGATCTCGTGGAGTCTCCTCATGGTGCCATCACGGTCTACAAAGTAGGAGGAAGCGAGCTGGTGCAATGCTTCAACGCTCTGGGTGGCGTTTCCCGACTTTCTGTCGAGGCGGCTTTTGTCCATGTACATGGTCAAGGCCTCCTCTCCTGCAGCAGAAAGAAAAGGAGATTTCAGCAAGGTCCAGGAAGCTGCTGTAGAGGGCCATTTTAACGTGAAGTCACATGTTGTACCTAAAGAAAGAAAAGCCCAGCACTTAAAGCACTCTCAAATGAGCCCACCCTTCCTCACCAGTACCAGAACCCCGGTGGTACATATGAGCCCCCTCTGTTCAGCCAGAAAGGCCAGGTCCACTCTTCTCACTCAGCTCCTCTGAATTGAGCAGAAAACACTTCGGACATTTATTAGCCAGCATGGCTTCACCACAACAGTTGGGAAGGACTCAGAGGATTTGTCCCACTCCAGGCACCCTTTTCTCTGTGGGCAGTGCCTCAGAGCGAGGCACAGGTGACCGGAGAAGGCAGAACTTCTATGCAGTTCTTTCTGAGCTGATTTCAGGAAGGACAAATGATGATTTAAGTTGCAAATAGGATGTAGGTGGGTCCAGAGGACAAACAAATGTTAGTCGGACCTCTTTAGCTTCCAGTGACCATGAAAAAGGATAAGGGTCTGGGGCTGGGTGAGGGAGTGCAATCAGAGGATATAGCAAATGAGAATGTTAAGTTAAACCAACCATCCTTTCTGCATTTTTTTTTCCTCTCCTAGAGTCTCACTCAGTGAACTTAGAGGAAGAGCAAAAAGTATTGTGCAGGGGACAACAGGTGATTTTGAGCCAGTAATCAGAGAACCTGGGAGTGAAGCAGTTAAGACCTGATAGCACCAAACATCCTAAACATTAGCAGAAACCTGAATCGAATAAACGATATGAAAAGGACGTGAAGATGAGAAATATTTACCCAAAAGTTCAATTTGTGATGTATGAGCCAGATTAAAATTCAGTTCATTCTGAACATAAGGCTAACATTATACGAGTAGAAGCCATCCTGCATTCTTAACATCTGAAGTTCTGATTTTAATAAGTGAAGAGAATAGACACCTAGGGTAGGAATGTGCAATTTCTGCATAGCTCTCTTAATGAGAAGAACGGTGCTTGTTCTGATTTGATAAATGAACCACTGATGAATACATTGCCTCTGGCAGTGATAGCATGGTCAAAAAAGCGCAACATCACTTTTCAGGCCAAGAAATATTTTGCTCTTCAGCATTTTTGCCTTTTTTTTAAAAAAAAAAAAAAAAAAAAAGAACAAGCATTTACTTTCCTTGAAAATTTGTGTTAGCTGAAACAGTCTGATTTGTCCAAATAATTTCTTCTATTGTACACATGCAGAAAACCCCACAGTAAGCCCTCCCCCTTCCTTTCCCTGGAAATTTTCCAGCTTTTATCTGGAAGCCTGAAAACAAACAAAAAATATTTGGCTGAAAATCAGATTATTTTTATTGGATTTCAGTTTTTCAAGTAATTGATACGTTGAGGATTGAGCATTTGGCTTCACGAGGAAAAAAATAGAAATTTTGGGTGGAAAGAACATACTTTTCATAAAAAAAAATTGATCGGTTGAAAACTTTTAATTGGCTTCACAGGAACAAAGTCGAGAAGCCCAGCATGTAAAACTTCCTCTTTTTAATATTTTGTTAAAAATAACATACTACCCTTTGACCACAATCAAAGTTGGAGCAGTAACAGTATCATCATTGTTACTTCTCACAAAAACACTTTCCCTGGAAAATGACGAGCTTTGATTTCCTTTGTCACCATTAACATCGTTACATGTTGAGCGGTGTGAGGAGACCTCAGCAGGGATGAAGGCTCTGTCCCATCAGGCTCTATCCACACAAACAGCAGAGAGACGGTTCCTGGACCAGAGGGTTTAAGACCCACATACATCTGATGAGACCCCACAGGTGTATACAACAAATGGCCAGCAAAGCACCAGCTAATAAAATGATTGTGATTAGTGTGAGAAACAGTGGTCACTGCACACCAGATGCCTGTCTGCTGTCAATGTATTTTCAGGTTTCATCTTTGAGGTGAGTTTTACAGGGGGATTTGAAAGAAGGTCAGACTGGGAATTTTCAGGAGGCAACTCCTTTGCCACGGAAAGGATGTCTGCATGGGAGTTAGCCAAGAAGCTTGGGGGAAGCCAGGCTGGATCAGCATGAAACTGTTGTGTTTTGAGCCAAAAGTTTTCTATCTCTCACGTAATGGAAGTATTTACCTGCATGGAGATGCAGCATCAGTAAATGAAGCTTTGCCTCTATTTCACAGGGAAGACCTAGAATAATTCTCGCCTTCGCTAGGATTCTCGGAGAAACCTGCAGGATCCAGGTATCAACTCTCCTTCAATTCCACTAGTAGTGGGAAAAAAATTACTTTTCTGGAAAAATATCATGTCTTCTTTTAATAGCCAAGGGGCAAAAGGACTTAAGGAGTGAAAATCAGGACTTTTCCAGTTCAGACCTGTTCATCTTAGTAGAGGAATAGTGAAACTGAAGATCCCTTGGACAGAGAGGAACTGGGAAGCGTGGGCTGAATTGTGTCAAGCAATAACACTGGCTTCAGATCACCAGGAGATCTACCACCAGCTTTCAGTTCCCAGACAACACAAAGCAGGCAATGAGCAGCTGAGACAGTAGCTAGACATCAGGCAGGAGAAACCTGTGCTCCAGGACAGTGGAGAGCAGTGATTTCCCCACAAAACCTGTCATTATTCCTCCCTAAAGTGTTTGGACCCCCTTCGTTGGGAGGGGGAGGAAGTAAAGCCCAACATAATTGATGCTTCTCTGGAGCGGCACATGCTGTCCCTAGGACTGAACAGTGCTAAATAATGTTGTTGGAAACCTATTCTGTGTACATGTGTGCAGACCTGGAAAAGAATTCTCCTGCTTTGCTTGTGTGCATGGCTTTTGCTTTACCTATTAAACTGTCTTTATCTCAACCACTGAGTTTTCTCACTTTTACCCTTCTGATTCTCTCCCCCGTCCCACCGGTGGAGGAGTGAGCAAGTGGCTGTGTGGGGCTTATTGTCAATGGGAGTTAAACCACAACAAACCCTTAGATCAAGAGAGGTTAATAGACTTTTGCTGTGTTATTAAGTCTTAATTTCTCATTTATTAAGCAGATGTTATGTTCAAAGCTGTCTTTCCTTCAGGGCTTTCCCTGCAAATTGGCTCGCAGCTTTGTGTGCTCCATCCCAGAGCAAGGATGCCCTCAAAATGACCCTTCACCAATCCCTCTGGCAGAACTAAACTGGAGCAGAGCTGGGTTTTTATTAGGCTCCAGGGGCACTCAGCTGCTCTGTAGGTTGAAGGGCATCAGAGATGTTCCTCAAGTGGCCAGGTGTGAAAATAGCTGTTGTATTCAGGGGGGCTGCTCTGATCCATCAGCCAGCCTCCTGGGGTCCATCCACCAGCCAGCACTGAAAAGCAAAACAATCTCCCGTGTGTTTGTCACTCGTTCGCAACCTAATAAGACATCAGGCTACCTTACAAACCACTGCAACCCCAGGCAGAATTCCTGCAACTTTTCTGAGGTCTTGTGAGAGCCAGGGTGCCAGGACAAGTCTGGTTTTATATCCCAGCGGTCTTGTTTAGCCCACAGACTGTGATTAGAGTGTGTCCTCCTTGCATAATGCATGCTCAGCTTCATCTGCATTTTCCCTGGGCCTGCCATTGCCAAGATAAATCCTTTTCTCCCCTCCCATTGCTCACATGCTCTGGGCTGATGGAGCATTTAGCACTCCTCTCCAACACCAGTTCTCGTTACAAGCCTCTGCATATTTAAAATTGTTGTGTTGTAAAATCAGGAGAAGAAACAAGCCCCTGTGAATAATTCACAACCTCACCCAGGCAAAATTAAAAATATATATTACCATCAAAAGTCGGTCTTATTTTGAATTTCCACAGATCTGAGTGGCAAGAAGAAAAAGTCGTGTCAATGGAAAGAAAAGTAAACCTATAAAAAAAATTTCTCAGCACTTTACTGGATGCTTACTTGGCTGGCTTGGGCTCTGTAAAATATGGAGCTGAAAAGTGATTTCCTCAATAAAAAGAAGTTTATGCAGGCTTTGTTAAGGCCTGATGCCTGCTCTCTCACATTTCTCACATTTCTTGCTGATGGTGTGGATGGTTTGAGTGCCTGGACTGGAAGAGCAGCCCAAGGTGCTTTGAAGGACATTTGCCACAGGAGAGGCCATTTGACTTCAGTGGAACCGCTCCAATTTACCTATCACCTGATTCGTGCATGAATCATATGCACACATCTCATCTCATCTACGTCTCATCCCAGTGCCTGCAGAATGCTTTGGGAACAAACAGATGGCCAGAAATTCCTCAAAGTTCACTACCAGCTTCACCATGTGGCAAGGCTGGAGGTCAGATATATTAGAAGAAGAAAAAGCAACAAACTCTGTTCTGAAATTAAGACTTTTACCACTGCAGAACCTCGCTTACAAATAGTAGTTCTCAGAAGAAGGGCATTGAAGTGCACACGGTAAAGAAGGGTAAAAACAATTGGCAGCAAATATCAAGAGGACCTGATGATATTCAGCCCTCCTGCTTTCAGTACTCAGTACTTGAAGTGTTCCTGCAGCACCAACAGCAGTGCATGCTCATGGGTTAGTTGGTCATTGGGTGGTGAGCAGTACCACTGTGTGTCACTCCTTTGTATGTATTACTACTATTATCATCATTATTATTATTATTTCCAATATTATTGTAGTTTAGCTATTAAATTGTTCTTTTCTCAACCCACAAGTGGCTTTTTTTCCTTCACCCCTTTAATTCTCTCCCTCCTCCCAGGGAGGGGTAAGGCTGAGCAAGCAGCTGTGTGTATAAACCTCTGACACCATCTGAGGATGGGACAGGCTTTGGCTGGGGGAGCTGCAGCCTGGCCTTAAGCTACCAGCCACCCTACAGCATGGCCAAGGTTTGCAGGTACTGGCCAGTGCTTTCACCACCCCACCACCGACACCCGCGTAAGAAAACAGCCCAGGTTGCCACCTACCTCCCAGGGTGGCAGAGATGAGGATGTGGGTGCCGTACTTTTTGATGATGGTATCAATGAACTGCTGCGTGGTGGGTCTCCTGCCCAGGAGGCGGATGCTCCTCTGAAACTCAGGCATCAGGGGCAGTGGGTTGTGGAGCAGGTCCCTCCGCTCGATGGCTGTGTTCCTCACCTTCCAACGGGCAAACTCCCTACGTGACAACACAGGAACACAACAGGGGTGAGGCTTTGAGTCCAGAGGGTCAGGGAGAGCCGCCGAGGGCAGGGAAGGGGGATGGTGAAGGGGACAATCCTGCTGGACACCCCCACATGGGTACACATGGGAGGCCACAAGCTAGACAGAAGGGGAGGAAGAGGAGAAGAGGAAAAGTGAGACGTTACTGCACAGTAACAACACACTCTGATGATCAGGGGCTGGGCTGATGAGCAGTCTGAGTCTCCAGAGATGTCTGGCGGAGGGCTGCATCTCCCTACAAAGAAAGCAAGCTTGTCCTTTCACCCTCACACACTTGGAGCTCTTAAACCCCTTCATAAAGCAGCAAATTCTGCTTTCTGTCAGCAAAAGAGCTCATCAGTTAGACAGACTGTAGATCTAGATCAGTTTGATCGTTACTATATCCCCATGTCCACAAGCCTTCCTGGCATGCTTTTGCAAAGCGAGGCTGAAGGAAACACCTTTTATCCAAACATCTTAGTCTTTCAACACCAAGAGTACAGCAAAAAATCGTTTTGAAAAAACAATACGCTTGATAAACCATCTAAAAGGATCAATTCAGACATAAGCAGAGGCCAGGATGAAGATGAACGTTTTGTTTGTTTTTCTTTCTTCTTTCTTAAAAACCTATAAAGTGGTTTTCAAATCCCTTCTTTTAAACTGATAGCAACTGGGAAAAAATAAAGTTAATGTTTGCAAAAGCAGCTCTTTATTGCAGGTATCCATTTTGAAATGACACAGAGAGAAATGCCTAGAGAAAACCTTGCACGCTTGCAATCTAAATATTGGGCCTCTGAAATACATCACCAGCTGAGCACCTAAAAAATGAGAAACCTATTAATGTCCTTTAAAAAACATTGAGCAAGGCCTTCTTAAAAGGAAAAGATACTATTTATAACTACTGTCCTACAACACATCTGCATCATCTTAATCTATCTCCAAGATAATAAAGACACAAACTTCTGACGCTTTTCATTCAGTTATTCCTGTAACTCAGGTTTAAGACAAAATTTTAATTTAAATAATAGGAATGACAATACCTGGCACTTACTGTCAATGTGTGTCAACCAGCACTGGCAAACCCACTTTGCTGGTAGAGAACCTGACATATAGGCACATTTAGGAGATGCTGTAAGTCAGTTGCCAAGCCAGGATCACAAACCAGATCTTTTATTCCCCAGGTTGAGTCTACACCCAGTCCACTTGATGTGTGTTAGGTTATTTTATTTAATGCAATTATGCATGTATTTATTTTGATTGCACCCCATCACAACACCCCAGGCTGCCTAACAGCAGTTGCATTCATTAAAATAGCAAAATGCCACTTTTTACTTCAAAATGTCTACTTACACCTGAGCTAATGCCCCTTCTGTATCTCCCAGGCTTACACAAGCCAAGTAAAACTGCCAAAACAAAACACCCCTCTTCCCATATCCCAAGAGCCATTAGTGTCAGATGTTGAAAACTGCAAAAACCACTGGTCTTTCCTAAAAAATCCTCTATCAAAATGCTAGAAAAAAACCCAAACCCATACGTCAGGATTTTAATACAAGGAGTGGAGAGAACACAGACCATTGTCTCTTAAATGTCTGCAGACAATGAGTACGTGACCAATGCCCATGTATTCACTGCATGGAGTAGAATATTGGGTTTTTACACTATTCTGGGACAGCAGAGAAAAAGTCCAGTACTTAGTAGCTGTGGAAGAGATATGTTTGGGGGTCCCACAGTTGATTTTAGTGATAGATAAAAACTTTAAAGGACAAATAGCTTCTCTCTGACAAACTGGATATTCCCACGTTTCTAACTAGCCAGCATAGGAAAAATGCCATCTGTGCTTCCTCTCCAAAGAGAATTATTATTTCCTGTAAAGCTCGAGCACACTTTTGCTCTCAGATTGCTGCTTCCTGCAAGCATTATCAATAAAGTCAGGAGGGGCTAGAGCCCTCCAGAGCCAGCACGGTTCCAGAAGGGGCTGGGGGAATGCTTCATGTTCCCTGACAAAGGACAGTGTTTGCTTTTGTTACTGTCAATTTATCTATTCCAAAGCAAAGACCATAGAGTTGAAACATGCAGCTGATCACGTAGGACCCTTGATATAGCAACACCCAAACCCCGGGAGTATCTCCAGTCAGTGTGTGGAGATGGACAGGGCAAACAATTAGTACCACGGACTGGAAAGCAGTGCACAATAAAGATGGGGGAAGATGGCAATAGAGAATGAAAATTTGGTAAACAGTGTTCAAAAAGAAAGTGGGTTCATTTTTTACACCAGGTCCAACATAATCTCATGACTCTTCCATAAAGGAGGAATTTAAAAGAAATCATTGCCATGTCTTCAACCTTGCCTGCTGCCAAGAGCCAGTGCCAGTCACATTTGTGCAGTAGACAAGACTTTAGCAGAACCTGCACCTACAATATCATAGTGGAGGAGGCTTTGTCCACTCAGTTCCATGCATGCCATCCTTCCCCGGGGCTTCCTACTCCTAGGGCACATCACCAAGGTGAAAGCCCAGTTCTGTTATACTCTCCAAATGCTTGGATGTGTGCCTTTCATAGCTGATGAGAAAAGCTGAGCAAATACTTATGTTGAATAATTTATGCAACTAACTTAGATGTTTATCTTCTGCTCATAGAATATCCATGAACCAGTTGCAATTCTCTCTAATTTATGCATTATTTGAATTTACTTAGAGACATTTTTCAAGCTTTTTTTTAAGGTTTTGCATAGTATTTGGCTGTATCCTCTCTGTGTGCTGTTGATTGGTTAAGCAAATTATATGGTATTGTTAAGCTTCCTGATTAATGACCACAAATACATTTTAAACTTGGCTTCCCCAGTTCCAGAATATTTTACATTGAAAGCAACCCTCTAAATACTAGCAATCTTCCGTGCAACCTATAGAACTCTGCTGTAAAATGCACCGGAGGCCAAGACTATTGTACAATTTTGGAAAATAGACTTAACATTAATGGATATGGCTAAAGAAATCACTTAGAATTATTGAGGTGACTAAAAAAAAACACCCAGAAAAGATGCATTTGCAGGGAACAGTATAGCTCCAACCTGTAACTCCTGAAGTCTGTGAAGAAACACTTCCAAAACCAGATTTTCTATTAGCTTTCAATGCTAAACTTAATTGCATTTTGTGCAGAAGCAGCTGCTTGCTGTTGGCCAAAACCGAGCCCATGGCACTGGGCTAGGTAAGCATACTCTTCCTTCTGTCACCACTGAAACCTTGAATCTGTGAACCTTTGGAGGATCTACCAAGGCCCTGGGTTCATGGATGATTGTGTAAAAGGGCACTGAAATCTTTGCTCACAGCAATTGTTCTCAGATGCTGTTTCACTGATCATTGCTTCTCAGGACCACCAGTGACACCAGTATCTCAGTGCCACTACCTGGAAAGCACAGGTGAGGTCTCAACAGGTCTCAAGGCACTTCACAAAAGAGAAATATTGCAGCATTGCTTGCTCATTTCCCAGGTAAAAAAGGTGCAAAGACTTGACCAGGATTATTATGGCACCCCGTGATACAATCAGGATTAGAACACTGTTTTCTGACCCTCGGGGGAGATCCCTGGCGAGAGCCTGAACTTCTGTCCGTGGGGAAGCTTTTAAGGGCTTGGGGAAGATGCTAAACCTCTTAGCAGGGAGGAAGAAGAGTCTGTTTCCCTGATGCAGAGATGGGATAAGGAGGAACTATGACCTAATGTCTGTGTAGTGGGGGAGAGGCTCTTGTTTGTGCTCTAGTGTCTCGCCAGTGTAGACAGCCCATGCTGATGTGGAACATGGGCAGGAAAATGCCTGCCAGGTCAGGGAGGGAGTCTGCTCTCTAATGCCCAGTGAAAGCACTGGAGAGCCCCCTCTCCTGATGGCTGGGAGGGGTAGGAAGTGCTAATGTTTAAAGGGCAAAAAGAGGTGAGAAGAAGTAGAGGGGTGAAGGACTGCCTCAGGGAGGCAGATACACATTTCAGGCCTTCCTCCGTGTCACAGTAAGGGGATGTATTTCATTTGTATACAGCAATATCTGAGAAAATACTTGCCCCTTCAGAGTTTGCATTAATGAGCTTGCCATCAAGGCCATGCATGTCAGAGACGGAGGGAGCCACAAGGGATGTCTCGGCGCTCATTAGCACTGTGACCCCTCCAGGGAAACAGAAGAAAGGAGGAAAAAATGCTGAAGAAGAAGGAAAAGTCAAAAGACCAGAATGGGTACATCACCCAGACCCCCTGCTGTACCAGCAGAGAGGCTAGGAGAGTCCAAGGGCACGAGCATCTCTACCCAGGGAGAGGAGTCTGAAAGAGAGAGGCCGTCGGAGCAAATTAAATTCCCCATCTTCAAATGGCCAAGCAGACCAAAGGATGTAAAGGAAGAAACAAGTTCAGTACAGACCTCAGGGGCCAGCGCTTGAAACTAAAAGAAATTAAATGCATTAAACAACGATGGAGACAGTCTGTTTGAAAAAGGGAAAAAAAAAAAAAAAAAGCAAAAAAGCAGAGCAGGAAGACACTGAACAAAGCCTATAACTGCCATGCTAACTGGAACACCCCAACGCCTCCCATTGCTGGATATATTGCCTGCAAGGTCTGCAGAGCAGCTGGTGCACCCCACTCCCAGTGCACCCTCAAACAGGACCAGCCCCATGCTCCCTGGGAACTGGGCAAGAAGGAACGAGCTTCTCTGTTCAGCAGTTCTTCATCTTTTTTATAGATCATAGACCAAAAGCCATCAACTGCTCCCACGGGCGACAAGAGCTCTTCCAAAGGCAACACCCTCTTCAATAATAGCAAGATACAAACATTGCTTGATGTCCTCTCCCTGGCATGTTGCACACATTGACTCTTTATGTCAGTAGGATCCCTGGTCAGAGACAGAGATCTCCTAGAGCCTTCTTCCTTTCTTGGGTTTTGGTGTATACGCAATGGCATCTGCCTAGACGCGCCTCTGCCCCTTGTTTCCATCCAAGCACCTCA